AATCTCCAACTGTGAGCGTAACTTTCCTTTTTCTGTAAAACATATTCAGTATTTTGATGATTTTGGTGATGAGCCTTGTGCAATGCTGTTTTCTGGCCAAACACAAAGCATAGCAGGATTACATGCAAAGTCTGATAAGAAGAAATACAAATTCATTCAATGACCACATTAGGCTGTGAAGTTTTAAAGACATGAATGCTGCTCAAACCCTTTGCAGAGTTTCCAAACCACACAGCGTCTCTATATTCATATTTATGTAACTCGCTTATTCTTTTTTTAATCTTAGTGTTTCAGCCTGACAAACTATCTGCAGTACAACCACAACACTTCTCGAACTGTGTGAAAAGAGGCTGTGAATTTGTTTTGTGAGGTTTATTTAATGACTACTAAGGTCATGATTTTTTTTATCCAGGGGAGCATTGAACATATACTAATTTACATGAAAGAACAGGATTAAAAAAAGATTCAGTACAGGTTAGCAATCTAAGCAGAGATGACTACACCACTTTCTCTTCGACCATCTCCAGTTTCTAAGCGAGCTGAGAAACATGATCTCGCCGGCAAATTCTGGGTCTGCTTCTGTCTTCAGGACATGCCTGAAACACTTAATTTAGGAGGTTCCCATGAGGTGTCCTTTCAGATGTCCTGATATGTTCAGCTTAATATATATTGTTCTCTCTTAAATACCGTATACTTAAAGCAGAAATATATTTATTAAGTTGGAAGCTGATGGACAAGTCACAGTGATCCAGTCAAATCTGATATATTATTATAATATTATTTATTTTTTGGACCTTTTGGGAAGGGTAGGTTTATAAACAAGTTCACTGACAACATATTACCATCAAGACTATAGTGTATAATTCACATTATTTTGTCATAGCCTTTAATTTTGCATTCAGCAAAATTCCCTCCAAAGTCTAACAAAGCCATAAGATCACCTGTGGGTCAAGTTGAGTTATATTTTATTTAAATGTGTCTTTTATTCACTTATCTTTTAAATTGTCACATGTTATTTGTTTCTTCAGTGATGAATACCTGGCTGCTGCTGGTGATACAAATTTGGGATAGTTGTGATGCTCAAACAAGTAAGTGAAAGTTAATTTGATTCCTTTGCACAATTTAGTAACTTTCTGATTAATGTCAGTCAGGATTCTATGTTTGATTTGTTAACCCATATGGAAAAGAAATAGTAAAAACTTATATGTGATTACTCATGAAAGTGGCCACTTTGTCATTACTTTCATATATTGTTTTAGTAAGTATCCAAAACATACAAGTTTCATTATATAATTTTTCAAGGGATCTCATATCTGTTTTCATACAAGTTTCACACAAGACAGATACAAACTTTATAAGATTTATATATATCTTTTCCATATGGGAATTGTCACTTGACATATTTTAATGTCTTTCTCTTTGTCAATAGAGTCAGCTTTTCCTCATGTTGTTCCAAACACTTCTCAGCACTATGAATACAGCACAGTGTCTTTTGACTGCAAGGAGTTTGATGTGTCTCTTGGATGGAAACTAATGAGGAAAGCAACAGATGTTGATACAGCGTGTGGGACTAGCTGGGGAGTTTTCAGTGGGTCCATTTGCATCTTCAGAAATGTTTATATTGAAGACAGCGGACAGTACTGGTGTGAGAGCGGAGATGGAAAGAAAAGCAGCCCTGTCAACATCACCATTTCACGTAAGTTTATTGTATCTGTGTTCAATGACATTTATGTTTATGTTGGTAAAGAAATCTGTGGTGAATTGCATATTAAAATGTGTTTTATGAGCTAAAGTACACCACCATACAGAGAAATCAGCTAAATATTCTGATAATTATATATCTGCTAAGTGTTGGCCTGTGCAAGTGAAAAAAAGAAAGAAAATTAGAGTTCAACAAGGGTGTCACAGAAAAAAAAATGATAACATATACTGCACATGAAAGTGCTCAAATCCTATGAGAAACAGGTTTCAAACACATGATTTTCATTTGTGTCTAGCTATAAACGTCTAATTATACCATATATTATAATTATAACAGCTGGTCCTGTGATCCTGGAAAGTCCTTTAATTCCTGCGGTGCAGGGAAACACTGTGAGTCTGCGCTGTAAAAACAGCACAGATTTCACCAAAACCTCCACTTCCATATCCTTCTATAAAAATGGCATCTTTATCAAGAGCATCTCCACCAGCACTTTGATCATCCGCAATATCAACAAGTCTCATGAAGGACTCTACAAGTGCAGCATCTCAGGAGCTGGAGAATCACCTGAAAGCTGGCTGGCTGTCAGAAGCAGAGACAACACAGGTGAGAGCACACATTACTAGTATACAGAAGTGTGTGTGTGTGTGTGTGTGCGTTGGTGGTGTAATGTATTTTGAGATGTGTTTCAGGTCACATACTTTTCAGGCTGTTAGAGGCCTACACTTCATATAAAATATGGACATATATTAATCCCCCACTAAACGTTGGAACTCAGTTTGGTAGACAAAGAGACAAATAATTACTTCTTCAAAATGAGAGACAAAAGCTTCCAACCAACATTGGAGGGTTTGTTTCTGTAAAGACACTGCAAAACTGCAAAAAACCAAGAACAGGCATTTTGGGAAAAAATCTTAGTGCCTTATATTAC